TCTGCTCAGGACCCAGTGACTTGGAGCAAAGTTAGAGACCTGTCCACAAACAGGCTTGGTGAGTTCTCCAGTTAGGAATCTAGAAGGCTGCCCAAATGCCTTCTGCCTCCTTCCTGCATGCTGCCCAGCATCTGAATATCCTTCCCCGTTCTGGGTGAGCCCTTGGGGATGAAAGCCACCCCCCACTACAGAAGCTACAGTGGGGTCTTTCTCCCTCTCCTGCCAGGGCGTTAGATCCTGGGCATGGGTCCCAACCTTAGCCAGCTGGCGGATGGTTTAGCCAGTCGGTTTTTTAAAATAATAGCTTTATTGAAATATAATTAGCATACCATAAAATTCACCCTTTTAAAGTGGTTTTTAGTATGTTTACAGAGTTGTGAAACCATCGCCACAATTATTTTTAGAACATTTTTGTCATCTGAAAAAGAAACCCTCTACCCATTAGCAGTCACTCCTCTCCCCTCCCAACATCCCCCCCCCAGCCCCAGGCAACCACAAATCTACTTCCTGTCTCTATGGATTTGCCTCTTCTGGACATTTCACATACACGGAATCATACAATCTGTATCCTTTCGTGTCTATCTTCTTAGCATATTTTCAAGGTTCATCGATCTTGTAGCAGGTATTAATACTTCATTCCTTTTTATGGCTGGACAATACTCCATTGCTTGGATTTATCACATTTTGGCTATTCAGTCGTTGGCTGATGTTTCCCCCGTTTGGCTCTTCTGAATAAAGTTACTATGAGCATTACCACACAGGTTTTTGTACAGATGTGTTTTTCCATTTCTCTTGCCTATATAGACGGAGGAGTAGAACTTCTGGGCCATATGGTAACTCTAACATTTTGAGGAGCTGCCAGACTGTTTTCCACGGCATCAGCCGCGCACGCGCCTTCCAACTTCTCCACATCCTCACCGACACTTGTTCTTTTCTGTCTTTTTTTATTTTAGCCATCCTACTGGGTGTGAAGTGGCATCTCATTGGGCTTTTGATTTTGACTTTGATTTGTGAGGCAGTGGAGGAGCAGTGGGGAAAATGATGTACAGCAGAAGTGGCCACTGGAGAGCCCAAGAGCGTTGGAGGCACTGAGCTCATGGCGAGGCGGGGCCGTAACATCTGGCCTTCTTTCGTTCCCTCTCATTTTCAGAACTTGTTTCTCCAGTCTTTGCATTGCTTCTGTAAGTTACCGGATGGTCTTCAAGTAAAGTCCCTTTCCACTGGAGCTAACCAGAGCCACTTTCTTTTGCTGCACATCGAAGATCATGATTGATACTGTATTTAAGCTATCCCTTAGCCTTGACACTTATTTATACTTCCTGAATTGCATCTTGTTGCCATCCTTCACTTCTCCCCAAACTACTGTAATAGTCTCCTTGCCGTTGTCCCTCTCCCCAGCCATCCCCTCCTGCCCATCACCCACCCAGTCCTATGCTTCTGAGATGCAAATGTAATCCACTTCTCCTCCGTTACTTTATTTTTTTAAATTTTTTTTATTTTTTATTTTATTTTTAAAGATTCCATCCATTTATCTGACAGAGAGAGACACAGCGAGAGGGAACACAAGCAGGGTGAGTAGGAGTGGGAGAAGCAGGCCTCCCCGTGGAGCAGGGAGCCCGATGTGGGGCTCGATCCCAGGACCCCGGGACCACAACCCCAGCCGAAGGTAGATGCCCAGCGACTGAGCCACCCAGGCGCCCCTTATTTTTTTTAAAAGATTTTATTTGTTTATTTGACAGAGATAGCGAGAGCAGTAACACAAGCAAGGGAGTGGGAGAGGGAGAAGCAGGCTTCCTGTCGAGCAGGGAGCCCGATGTGGGGCTCGATCCCAGGATCCTGGGATTATGACCTGAGCCGAAGGCAGACACTTAACCATCTGGCCACCCAGGTGCCCCTCCTCCGTTACTTTAATCTTCAAGTTTAACCTCCTTGATTTAGGGCACAAGGCCATCCATAATGTAAGCACTGCTTTCTCTGGGTTGCTCTCCTGCCACCACCCCTAGGGACCCCACAGATTGGCTTAGAGTGCCTCATTGATATAATTTCCTCTCTACCTGCCCTGATCTCCTCCTCCTTCCCACCCCATCTGCTCTAGATGCCCCTATATCATATCACGAGGTACTGTAATTATCATCGACATGTGTTTCCCTCATTACAATGTAACCTTCTTAAGGGCAAGAACCAGGCTCTGTGCCACATTGTATCTAGGGCTTACCATGCTGTGTTGACACTGAGGTCACTTAGTAAGAGGATCTGTAGGCGACCGGTTATGGCCATTCCCTCATTTATCGTGAAGAAGTCGAGAAGGCAGAGGTGGCCAACCAGACACTGAGGAAGGGGTGAGTGGCATGCATTTGCTGACGCTTTCCTGCCTAGCTGGCTGCCTTCTGGCAATTACCAGCGATTAGGGGGAAGGTAGATTGTGTATGAAGGAACAAGATCACGGAGAAAACTGTGGTTACATTTTTTTAAGATATTGAAATCTCTGGAAAACTACGGAAGATGAAACGATGCCAACTCAGGATGTAAGGTTTATGAAGCTGGAGCCAGCTGTGAGCATTTGCCCCTTTGGCTTGTGTCATGTAAAAGAACATGTCAGCTTCAGGGCTGGCTCCGCACGTGCTTATTGATGGTCTTTCCTGGGATCCTCAATCTCACACCAAGACTCTGGATATAAAGAAACGAGAGTGGCCAAATCTCCCATTTGGGAGACCCGGCTAGCCTCCCTTCCTCCTGCTGACAGTTCACGTGAAAACATTCCTACTCAGACTCACGAGGAAGAATCATATAGAAGAAACTTCTAGACCCCTGAAGACATCGTGTTGAGCCTACATCCCCCTCTATGGTCACTGAATCTTCTGGCTTTGGTGCACACTGTCCTCTCTGTCCGGAATGTTCTCCCCTATCTCTTTCCATGACTGGCTCTCAACATCTATGTTTTGTCTTCGGAGAGACCCTTCCCGACCATCTTAAGTAAAGCACATTCCCCTCTTGGTATTCCATGTCACAGGGTCTGGGCTTTTTCTCTAAGACTGCGAGCGCAACCTGCAATGACCCTTTATGTGTTTGTTTCGCGTGAGCCCCCTAGAGACAATGGCCACGCCTGTCTTGCTCAGCACCGCATACCCAGGGCTGGTGCACAGGAACCATTGGCTGAATTCATGAGTGGACAAAGGGATGGGCGAAGCCCGTCTATGAAGAGCTCAGGCGCTCGGAGAGGAGAAGCCAGGCAGCAGTCGGCCCCTTCGATAGGACAGTGTGCTCTGAGTTTGCCACGGCCCCCTCTCCTTCGTGTTGGAGCCTGCCCTTGATGTGCTCTCGGTGCTTCAGACCCCAGGGCCACAGCACTGCTCACGGCTCCCTGCTCCAGGGATCCTCAATCTCACACCTTTCTGCACCACCCCAGTGGTGGTGCTGGCCGGCGGCGGGCCAGGGGACTCGCCCCTTGCAGCACGCGCTGCTGTGTTGTTTGAAGTGCTGGGAAGGAGGGTGTACTAGCTGCTTGTAACTAAACTTGTTTCCCTCCCAAAGAAAGCACCCCTGCTTGCTTTAAAGAGTAAGATATACAAAAATAAATACCATGTTTACACTGATGTGGTTTGTGACTTCCAATCAACAAAACAAGAAAACATGAAGGACAACCACATTCCGTGGCGACATCTCGGATGTTGAACTCCCCCCCCGCCCCACCGCACCACTGGTCATTGCAAACCACCAAGAACGGACCGGGGCACTAAGTACCCATTGTGACCTAGAAAGGCAGGAGGCCTGCCTCACCGATCAGCGGCTCAGGATAACAAGCTAAAGGGCACAGGGACCCCGCTCTTAGCTGTCCTGTGAGGTCAGTCGGTCGTTATACTCTGTATTGCACTGCCATGGAAGAATGTCACATCGACCTGGGTTGTTGTTTAAGATTTTATTTTTAAGCAACCTCTACCCCCATCGTAGGGGTCGAACTCATAACCCCGAGATCAAGAGTCGCACGCTCTACCGACCGAGCCAACCAGGAGACCCTGGCTTTGTTTTTTGTATTTTGGTTTTTTCCTTTAGGCTAAGCTAGCAGAGGGTAGTTCTATGACATACGAGTAGGGTGGCAACTTGCTGTTAATTCCCAATGCCCTGTATCTATTTATTACAGTCAATTTGGAAGCAGCTGCCTGCAGGGGAACTGTTGGCCAAATCCCTAAAGAACGTGTTCAGGCCGAAAACACCAGTGTTGAGGGTAGCCATGGCTTAAGGACACAGATCTTTAAAAAAAGACCCTTCTTGTCTGCATTGCCTGGAAGTGCAGCAGAGGCTCATGTTTGCAGAGGATAGACAGCAAGTGGGTTGACCCCAAAGCAGCCGGCCCTGACTAGCTTCAGGAGTGTTTGCTTGAGAATGGAGAGGTGCAGGGCAGATCACAGAAACGATTCAGGGGTGACTCAGTCAGAAAGGTGGTGCAGATTTCTTTTTTTTTTTTTAAGTTTTAATTTTGAGATAATTTTAGATTTTTTAGAAGATTTATTTATTATTTTAGAGAGAGAGAGAAAGTGTGGGGAAGGGGAGAGGGAGAGAGAAAATTTAAAGCAGACTCCCCGCTGAGCATGGAGCCCGATGCGGGGCTCCATCTCACGACCCTGAGATCATGACCTGAGCCAAAACAAGAGTCGGACGCTTAACTGACTGAGCCACCCAGGTGCCCCAAGATAATTTTAGATTTATAGGAGAGTTGCAAAGGTAGAAGAGAGAGTTCCCAGGGACCGCTCCCCCAGCTTCCCAGGTGTGTATACGCTATGTAACCACTATATTGTGATCAAAACTAAGAAATGAACAAGGCTGCAAAGCTGGTAACTACACTAGAGACCTCACCTGGATTGCATGCTTTCCCCAACATCCTCCTCCTGTTCCGGAAATCCGTTCTGGGATCCCGTTTTGCCTTTCTCCACCATGTCTCCCTAGTCTCCTCCGGTCTGTGATGGTCTCTCAGTCTTGTCTTGCTTGTCACGACCTTGACAGGTTTAAAGAGCACTGGTCAGGTCAGTTGTAAAGATGCACTGTGTTCATAAAAATCTGCTGGGATGAGTGATCCTGGTCTCGGAGGCAGAGTGGCCTACAGCCCGAGGGACAAATGTGGCTTGCAAGTTAAGAATGGTTTTCACATTTTTTTATGGTTGAAAAAAAAATCAAAAGAAGGTGATTTTGTGATATATGGAAATTATCGTGAATTCCCATTTCAGTGTCCACAAGTAAACATGATTGGAACGCAGTGATAATCATTCATTTCTAGATTGTCTGTGGTTGCCTTTGTACTCCAATGGCCAAGTCAGGGATTGTGACAGAGCCCATTTGACCTGCAGAGGCTCAATATTTACTCTCTGGATCTTTATAGAGAAAGTCTGCTGACCCGATGTAGAGAGCCTGGCAGGACCTGGCGTTTGCCTTTATTTGAAAGCAAAGCCAGCTATTAAAGAGCTCCAAGTGCATCTGTCCAGTCATTCCACAGATACTATTGAGGGCCCTTTGTCAAAGCCAGCAGAGACCCCTATTTGGGCAAGCGCTAAGGAAGCCAAAACTTTGGAACTGGAGACAGTTAGTGCTCATCAACCACCTCCCCAGGTCTCTGTGCAGTTTGTCCTGTAATAATAGCTGCTGTCCTATTTTGAGCTCTGCCTTATGCTGGTAACGCTTTACTTGCACCCTCTCCTTTAATCCTCTCAACCAGCCAGGAGCTGTTCCAGGACGAAACCGAGGTTTCTGAGACGAGCCACAGGCACACAGGGAGTCCTGAAATGGCAGGAGCAGAGAAGCTCAGTCAAGCCCATGAGCTTCCAAGGCAGACGCTGTGCAAAGAATTTACTCGCCATGCTGGGGAACAGCCCTGGGGTCTGGAACAGAGGGGGCGAGGTGGGGTGGGGCGGGGAGGCTCCTGGTGGTTCCTGAACTCTAGAAGCAACAAACCAGGACGGTTTGGTTGGCCAGTAGCTGGAAGCCCTGTGCGAAACAGTGTTTTCCTTCCAAAGGAACATCACAGTGTTCAGTGTTTGGGCCCTAAGTCCATGATTATACTTCTTTGGCCCTTCCTTGCTCCCTTCCTGGTGTCGCTGCTCGGCCATGCACACTGTTGGAGAGTCTGGGGGCTCTGCTCACTCCGCAGGAAGGCTGCCCTCCCCTTCCTCCCCTGGATGGGGGCGCTGATGTCCTACGCCTCCAACATCCGTGTGGCCAGCAGGTGGGGCCTGCTGGGGTTGGGAGACAAAGGGCCTCCTGGCGCTGAAAGGTGCACAGGTCTTCTCCATGTTGGTCAAACAAGTTGAGAGACTCCCGAACAAAAGCACCTGCAGAAGGGGGCCCCCCAAAGGTGAGAAGGGGACCCCCTGGCCAAGCTGGGCTGGGAGTGGTTGGAACACTACTGACAGGAATCCTGCTGTCCCCTGCTGTTTTGGCCTCCCCTCCCGGAGGGGACTCGGAGACAGGGCAACTGGTTCAGCACAGTGGGAGCCCCTCAGCTGTGGTGTGACCATGGTTCCAGATCACTGGTCCAGGCACAGCAGGACAGACCACTGGCCAGTTCTGCTCAAGACAGTTATTCCAATACATGCAGTCAACAAAAACAAAAGCAGAATGTGCCCAATTTAATGAAAGAAGCCTCTGGTTGGTGTCCAGACTGAATCCAATTCTGAGTAAATTTTTGAAGAGAACAAGTCATCTGAGAGTTTCCTGTTCCCTAAAATGTCCCCAGGAACTTTTTAACTGGCTTGGTAATATATCTCCTGAGCCCTTAGCAGCTGCAAAATGATTCATAAAGCTTGGGGGTGGGGTTGGTTGTTTTGGTTCTTACAAAACATAAACCGGGTTGCCAAGCCCAGCAACACAACTCGATGAGCAGGTGCTACGGAACCCAGGCCCACGCCGTCTGCCCCACAGTCACCGTGACACAGCCTGGTTTGGGGTAGACAGTTCTGTTCTACATTCCAGGGTGTTCCAAAAACTCACTGAAGCCAGTCTCCAAGTGGACGCCAGGCAGCGGGGAGGGCTCTGTGCACGAGGGACGGTGTTACTGTCATTTACTTCTCTCACACGGACTCTGCTCCTGAGGAGGAAGGGCCCTTAGGGGAGCCTAAATGTCATCTCCCATGCCAGGGCCTCTGGGGAAGGACCTGGTTTGGATGGGAGGGTGTGATGGACTGAGCACGTGTGGAGAATCACATTTGGCACATATGTCTGAGTGAGAACTCATTACTGATAACAAATCTTTAAAATCAGGGGCGCCTGGGTGGCTCAGTCGTTGAGCGTCTGCCTTCGGCTCGGGTCGTGATCCCAGGGTTCTGGGATCGAGCCCCGCATCGGGCTCCCTGCTCGGCGGGAAGCCTGCTTCTCCCTCTCCCACTCCCCCTGCTTGTGTTCCCTCTCTCGCTGTCTCTCTCTGTGTCAAAAAATAAATAAAATCTTTAAAACACAAACAACCCCCCCCCAAAAAACAAATCTCTAAAATCAGACCAGCACTTTCACCTGTTTACAAAATGATGGTACTTTTTACTCTCAAGGTCAAAACACCGCTGAAAACTCAGTAATGTTCCCCAAATATCCCCCGAACTGGGCTCCGTTTTTGCCTGCTATGTGTTTTGAAGCCCAGTGGAATATGAGGCAGTGATCTCCCCTGCTGGCTTGGGGGTGGGTGTGGGGGAGGGGGAGGCTCACAGACTCTAGTCGCTGAGTTCTGCCCTCTGTGGGGCTGGCCAGGTGGTTTCTGGTCCAGGTGCAACGCACACAGGGCCCCAGGGGTGCTTTTTTGCATTTTCTCTGGCAGTTGCCACCGGGGTTAAGCATGGCCAGTGATGCTCTTCATAACGGCCACACACAACTGCTTAGGTGTTTTGCTGATGAGAAGCCACGAGCAGGGACTCTCAGGAGCCCAGAGCACCCAGCTCCCCCCTCCCACCCGAGTCAAACCTCAGGCCGGGGTGATCCACATGAGGTCAAGGGTCCAGGTGGCACTTGAGGAAGGGAATAAGGCCGCACGTGTCCCTAGGAAGGCCTGCTGCGGGGGGAGGCCCTCTCTGCCCCCAGGTCCTTTTCAACCCCGCTCTGGTAGCACCGCCTTAGATTAAGCAGAGAGACAGGCCAGGGTAACCAGCCACCATGTACATCCAGCTACCAGTGTGTTTCTTGCCTCCACCCACTTTCTTATTTCAGAAACAGCAGAATGTCCAACTTTGTGAATTCCATTGCTTAACAGAAATTTGCTTTTAATGTCTAAATGTTCCAAAGATTAGAGTGGGGGCAGGGAAATGCAGGAAAAGCAGTGCCTCTTGGAAAAAAAAAAAAAAAACACACACACAAACCCGCACACACAAAGTCCTTTGTGTTTCAAACATTCCTTACAACTTCACTGACCATAGGATCTTGTCTGAAATCTTGTGAAATGGTTAGGCCAAGAATGTCTGTCGTGAATATTTCTGCAGTGATTTCGTCTGGAAGTTCTTCTTCAAAGCAGATTTCTGAACCTAGCCAAACAAGCAAAGAAAACAAATGCCTTCATAACGATTAGGTTTCTAACTAAGAAGCATTTTCCAAAAAATACAAGGAACCGATACTAAACAAAAGTGAGAGGTGCTTTGTGCTACGGTTTGGCTGGGAGTCCTAAAACCCCCCTGGGTGGAAATTGGCTGAAATCCCTTCTTTATGGTTTGGAGCTTGTTACCAAATCTCTGTGAACTTCATTGTAAAGCCTTAACCACATGGTATGGTTGATTTATGTGTAACACCTGGGAGCGTTACATTCTGAGGTCCCGAGTACACAAGGAATGGGGTGGGGGACTTTGGAGGCTGGAAATGACCCACCAGATACTGGAGTCTACAACTGTCTGAGTTCAGAAACCCTGTTTAATGTGAAACTGGAGATGAACAATGAAAGCTGAGGGAGGGGGCGCCTGGGTGGCTCAGTCGGTTAAGGGTCTGCCTTCGGCTCGGGTCATGATCCCAGGGGCCTGTGACCAAGCTCCACGTCAGGCTCCCTGTTCAGTGGGGAGTCTGCTTCTCTCTCTGCCTCTCTCCCTGCTTGTACTCTCTGTCAAATAAATAAATAAAATCTTAAAAAAAAAAAAAAAGGAAAATAGCTATCTGAAGTCTTCATGGGGTTGCTTTAAAAAAGAAAGCAAGCAAGCAGAGGGAGAATGACGCCTGGTGAGGGGTCAGCAATGGTGGCAGGCTCTCACCGCTGCGGGGCATCAGGCAGCATCTGGGGCTTGGCAGTGGAGACACCCCTGCAGGCCCGGGAGAGCTGTTTATTTTTTTTTTTAATTTTTAAAAAAATATTTTATGTATTTATTTCAGAGAGAGAGCGAGGGCACGAGCAGGGAGAGGGGCAGAGGGAGAGGGAGAAGCAGACTGTCCACTGAGCAGGGAGCCCGACGTGGGGCTCGATCCCAGGACCCTGGGATCATGACCCAAGCCGAAGGCAGACGCTCAACCAACTGAGCCACACACACGCCCCTCGGGAGAGCTGTTTAGACTGGTTTCTCCAGAACTTAAATTCACAAGGCCCATTTTCCTCCCTCCAGTGGACTAAAGAGGGAGGTGCGCAATCCTCCGGCAGGAGAGGAGAGGAGGACGAGCTTTAGGAACTTTCAAGCACTAGCAGCTCAAAGCCGGGCTTGTGCTTCTTCACGGCCCTGTCCTTACTCAAGTCTCTCGACAATGCCTCTCCTGAAACACCTTCCAAGCTGTATCTTCTCTCCTAGTGGTCATGCAGCCCAGCTGCCAAGATGGAGACCAGGTCCGGGGAATAAAGGGAACACAAGAGAAGAAGGCACAAAGGACGGATGGCACATGGTAACAAACGTTTTCATCTCTCAGATACGACCACGGCTCGCTGGTCCTTTCATAACTTATTCATGTTGGGTCCCCAGCAGACTTGCTTTGTTGTGTGCGTGCTATTAAGGAGAGTGGCCTGCACCAGTCAAGGGAAATAAATGCACTTAGGTCTCCAACAAATTAGTGAGCCGCGGTGGCACGCCCAGACAGAGGCAGCCCCAGTACCTTTGACAGAGGAGGCCGCAGGCTCAGATTTCCACCCCTCAGGATTCAGTCCGAACAGGGTAGCAAAACAGTCGCCCATCTCCTCTTCGGTCATGTGCTCACCTGAGAATCGTAAAGGGAAGAGTGTCCATTCAGCTCTGGGGACGACGCATCACGTCAGAGCTTAGCATCATCGTTCCGAGGTCTTAAAGAGAATTATCCCGCGATTTCCTTTTCTTGAGACACAAAAACAATCTACGGGGTCCCGTGTTACTGTCACAAATCCTTCCTCATATGGGGGTTAAGAATGGTGCTCCCAGGAGGGGAAAGCTGTCGGGGCGCGTTTGGAGAAATAAGACAACTTTCTGATAGCCTGCACTCGGCTTCAGTTCACCTTCCCTCACGCTAGAACCACGGGTTAGACCAAGAGCAATCGTTGTCCAGGGAGAAAGCCTACCTGACTTCCTCACATACAATAATGAGGGAAACAGTAGGTAAAAATGGGAAATTTTACCTTGGTGTGGTTTTACCTCACCCTTGCATCCCAATGTCATAACAGCCCAGTGAGACTGGTGGCTAGCCCTTTCACCCCCGTTTTACAATTGAGGACACTGAATCTCACAGGGGTTCAGCAAATTGGGACATAAATCACATTCTTAGGGACCCAGGACGGCGCCCTTCCTGTCACCCCCCATTTACCAGCTCTGCGGATCAGCAGGTGGCATCCCTCGTGGTTTTTGGGGAAGCAGACCCCCCTGCACCGTCAATTAAAGATGCCAGGGGGTCTGCCTCCCCAAAAACAGCTCCTCTCCAGTGGCAATAGCCCAATGATGTAACAAGATACTCCCTATTTATGGATTTACCTTTCGTTAGAAGCAGTTTCAGGAAATCTTCTCTTCGTATGGCCTTCTTTCCTTTTGAATTGGTAAAACCAAGAACATCAAAGCTCTGCTGGATGCCGCTCATGGTGTTACCGAAAGGTGGTCTGTGATTGAGGTAAACTTTGAAGAAATCCGGTAAGTTGATTTTGTCAATTAGCTTTCCAGTGTCCACATACTCACTAAATCTGATTTCATTAAACATATCTTCAATCTAGGGAAGAGGTTATTAAAAAAAAAAAAAAAAAAAAAGACCAGAGTAAGCATGAGAGACACTTTCGGGGCACCTGGGTGGCTCAGTCTCAGTCGGTTGAGTGTCCAACTCTTGGTTTCGGTTCAGGTCGTGATCTCAGGGTCGTGAGATCGAGTCCTGTGTTGGGCTCCATGCTCAGCAGGGAGTGAGTCTGCTTGTCCCTCTCCCTCCCTCTCTGCTCCTCCCCTGCTCTCTCTCTAAAATAAATAACATTTTTTTAAAGAAAGAAAAGACACTTTGTTACACTTCTAAAAATTGGACAGTAACAGACGAATGTTTACAGTTAGCTGAAAACCTGTCTGTTGAGGGTTGCTTATATCCCCCAAGAAAGAGATGTGGACGTCCTCAGCCCCAGGACCTCAGAATGTGACCTTATTTAGAAATAGGGCCATGGCAGACGTAATTAGTTAAGATGAGATCATACTGGAGCGGGATGGGCCTTTAATCCATTGTGAATGGTGTCCTTATAAGAGGAGGGGAGAGACACACAGGGAGGGGACAGCCATGTGATGACAGAGGCAGGGAGTGGAGCGATGCAGTTCAAGCCCAGGACTGCTGGTGGCCACCAGAAGCTGGAGGCGAGGAAGAAGGAAGGATTCTCCCCTATAGATTTCGCAGAGAGCACAGCCCTGCTGACAACCGGATTTATCCTGTGAGAGGGTACATGTCTGTTGTTTGAAGCCACCCAGTGTGTGATGCTTTGTTGCAGCAACCCTAAGACAGTGGCCAGTTTTTCAATACTATCAGCACTACCACATTATTACCACCTCTTACCTACCCATCTCTTAGTGCATTGACTACTTCCTTGCTTTGTCAAGCAGAGGTTAGTTTCATTTAGACGGCAGAATCCTCACAAACTTGGAAATTATAAGAATAAGCAAACAATTCCATGTGAAACTCGAATATGGGACCAAGGGCCCTAGTAAATTTCAATTAACTGCACCAGGATTCTTTTTTTCTTTTTTTTTCTTTTCCATTTTCAATGTGTACTATTTCATATATACAAAAGATTACATGTGACTTACGGGTTTAATTAAAAAATGAACACCTATGAAGCCATCGTTCATTGAAAAGATCAACCAAACTGATAAAAATCTTTAGCTAGAATAACCAAGAAAAAAAAAAAGAGAGAAAAGACTCAAATTACTAAAACTGGGACTGAAAGAGGGGACACCAGTACCAACTTTTCAGAAATAAAAAGGAGGGCAGCTCTTTCTGCCCACAGGTCTTGTCCCCATGTTTTAATAAAACCACCTTTTTGCACCAAATAAATAAATAAATAGAAGTATGAACAACAACAGGTCAACAAGATAACTTAGATGAAATGAACACATTCCTAGAAACAAATGACCAAAACTGACTCAAGAAGAAATAGAAAATCTGAGTAGACCTATAACAAGTGAAGAGACTGAATTAGCAATTTTAAAACTTCCCCAAAGAGGAGCACCTGGCTGGCTCAGTCAGCAGAGCATGCGACTCTTGATCTCGGGGTTGTGAGTTGAGCCCCATGTTGGGTGTAGAGATTACTTAAAAAAAAAAAAAAAAATCTTAAAAACAAAACAAAACTTCCACAAAAAAAAGCCAAAGATCAAAAAAAAGCCAAAGATCAGATGGCTTCACTGGTGAATTCTACCAAATACTTAAAAAATACCAGTTCTCCACAAACTCTCCCAAAAACAGAAGAAAAGGGAACACTTCCCAATTCATTCCTGGAGGACTGCTTCCTGGTTTGGAAATTCATTATGCATTTTCCAAATTTTCTAGAATGAGAAAAGGGTGCTGACCTGTCTATGGATTCAAAAGGAAATGTGATGCCAGTTAATGCAGGTCTCCACATGGCTCTCCTTAGGGAACCGCCAGAATGCAAAAAAGGGAGAAATACAAAAACAAACAAAACCCCTCCTCATTGCCATCCACCACTCTCTGTGCGGTATTTTTGTACTATGCACACTGCAGTCAGCTGAAATTCAGAAACCTGAGTTATACCTGGCAAAGGGCAAGAAATGAGTAATTTATTTTAATATCTGCATTTTAAACTGATATGCTTCCTAACAAATTGTGGGGCTTGGAATTTTACAAAAAGAGAGAATAAGGGCCACAGAAAAGTAGGAAATATTTTTTCCCCCAGAACATGAACTCTGCTTTGGTCTGTAGGAATAAATCAGGAATTGAATCTATATTTGTGCACATTTACCAACAGGCAACCAATTTCTCCCTGTCCACTAAATTTCAGAGAACAAAAATCAGGAAGAGCGTCCGTTTGAAGCTACACTAAATATCAGCTTGTCTGGGGCACCCCAGTGTCTTGGTCTGGCCCCAAGTATCAAGAAGAAAATAAAAGTCTTTTGCAGTCCAAACATCCAACCATCCAACCATAATTTCTGTGAAAGATTTGACATACTTTCTTTCCATTTCCCCACCCCATGCATATAAAATATATATGTATATGTTTTGCAAAATTCTTAGCATATATGTATATAATTTTGTATCCTGGTTTTTTTTTTTTCCTTTAACACTGTATCTTAGTAATCATCTAGTATTTTCTTTCTTTCTTTTTTTTTTTTTAATCACCTAGTATTTTCAAAGAAGCCATATATTTTCAATGTAACATTCTAGGAATGGTCTTTAGACATAACATCATTGGTTACAGATGAGAATGAACTTTAATTGATACTATATAAGTACCTTTAAGTGGTAACATTTTCATGTAGAGCATTTATTGAGTTTATATTATGTATAATTGCGAGTTAAATTATGTATAATTTTATGTATAAATAAAACACTATCCAGTATCATATTATTTACATTTTGTACTATATTAATTGTAATTGTATTATAAACATGTGCTACTATTTACTATGAGCCAGTAGAGACTAGGGCTAAATGTATGATCATTGATGACAGACCTAGGTTTAAATCCTGACTCTCCCATTTTCTTCTATCTGAACTTCTCAGTTTCCTCACCTTGAAAAAAGGGGTAACGGGAGTTTTGAAGTTCACTGTAACGATGTATTTAAGGTGGTAAACATTAATGCCTAACACACGGTAAGCTCTCAAAAAGCAGTAAACACTCTTATGATTATTATACTTTCTATACCTTTGCTAATTATGATACATGTAATTATAATATAAATTATAATTTATAGTTATATAAAGTATATGTTATAACTTATAATTACATAAATAATACACATGATATATATAAATTATAAATGTAACACACGATTTAACTCAATTCAGAAATAGAAGACTAACCCAAAGATAACAAAAAGGAACTCAAAAGTGGGAGTTACTCATACCCGGAGTGTTCCAGAGATCTCAGTGAACATTCTCAGCACAAACCACTGAGCAGGTGATTCACCTCTTACTCTCTTCTCCCATGGGACTGATCAAGAATCACTGCTCAGAAAGCGTAGAGTTGGCATCATTGACATTTTTCTCCTGAGCCTCCTTTGCAAGCGTTAGTTGAAAAGACAGATTTTGCTACATGTCTAAACAAAGTTCACGCTTGGGAGAGGAGCCTTGGAGACAGAATGGAACGCTGCGAGCCTTCCCCAGGCCCCAGTGTGAAGCCGACTCTGAGGAGCGGGGGCTCCCATTGCCCTGCCCAGAGCACTCTGCTTGGCTTCAGCCCTGCCTTTATTGCCATTCTCACGCTGGCCCTTCCTCCGCTAAGGCTGGGCTTCATTTGATGCACTCGAGGAGCTTTGGACATTAAGCTCCATTCCCAGAGATCCTGATTTCATTCGTCTGGGGTGGAGTATGAGCAGTCATATTTTTAAAAAGCTCCTCAGGGGATCTGAATGTACGGCCAGGATTGAGATGCATGGCTTCAAGGCAGGGGTTCTCAAGCTTTGTCAGGGGGTCAACATGACTCGGAGGGCTTATTAAAACAGACGGCCAGTCCCACCCCGAGTTTCTGATCCAGTGAGTCGGGAAGGGGGGCGGCGAGATTCTGCCTTTCTTAACAAGTCTCCAGGTGATGCCAATGCTGCTGGCTTGGGGGGCCACCTCTTTGAGAACAACTGCTCTTAGACCACAGAGCTTCGGCAGAGGGGATACTTGTTCCAAAAAGAATCGGGACCAGGCTTAGGATGTTCAGTAGAAAGGCGCGTTGTAGCGGCCCAGAGAAGTAAGAAAGGAAACAAAACAAAGCAAAGCACACAATGCAGGCACAAGGGAGGTCATGGGAGAATTTTTCTTAAAATATACAAAAGGCTTATTTAGAATAACCACTTGCTGCCCTAGTTCATTTAGTTCAGTTTACTAGCGGTTACCGAACATTTGGTTTCGTGCTAGGTGAATGGAAGGCAAGTCACTTAATGATGACAAGAACAGCCCTGCACTCTAGGACTTTTCGGTCAGCAAATATTTATTAAACACCTGCTAGGTGCCAAGCCCTGGTCTGGGCCCTGTGAAGAGACAACGTACACGGAGAGAGTGAACCAAAAGGAAGGTTCTGTCACTGTGGTTTGGTTCTCAGCCCTGGCTGCCCTCGAAGAACCCCCGGGGGCGCTTTTCATCACTATCCTTGCCCCTAGATTCAACTGCTCAGGAGGGCGGGCCCAAGCATCAGTACTTTCTAAAGTGCCCTCGAGTGGCTTAATCTGTTTGGATACCGTGGCTCTCAGATATTCAGTGCCAAAGGCAGGCGCTCCACGCCAAGAGCTGGAGGAGCCCTCAGCGAGGTGGGCCTGGGAAGGCTTCATGGAAGGGGTGGACTGGGAGGACAGCCAGCGAGGATCCAGCCAGTCTATGAGGGGGAACAAGTTGAGGAGGGGGCTCGAGCGGGGGCTGCCTAAGAAACTTCCCCAACCCCTTGCACATGGCCCCTGTCACTGTTGTAACCACCGGCGACAGGTGGAGTAGGCTTAAAGCACACAAGCTGGTCTCCTAGTTCTCAAGGTCAGAAGTCTGAAACGGGTCTGAAGAGCTAACATCAGGTGTAGGGGGGGGCTGCG